GGAAGATTGTAGCTGTTAGGGTTAACCGTCTTAGCCTTAACTCCTATAACTTTTCTTCACTCAGAGGACTAATTTTGGAAATTATGAAGTGCATAACAGGGACATATGTGACTGGCACGTGACTTTTTAGGGCCAGACCCTAAAATTTCAATGAACGCTTTAGTCGAAGACAATCAACTACTCTGGCATAACCACGCAATGCCCAATCTAAAAACAAGTAGACCTACAGGTAGTGTGAATTCTATATGGCAATTATGTTATAGCGTACTCCCGATATAGGTACTAGCTAAAATTCCAGAGACGTATTTCGCTGATAATTCTTCTACTACATGATACAGCAACAAGGGGTTCGACTCCTCAGTGGGTCTTCCAGCGTTCTGTATGCGGTTTCTGGGACATGACCTCCTGATAATAATCAAAGGTATATTTTTGGAAATTATTAAGTGCATGACATGGGGATGGGTGATCGGGACATGACCTTTCCTCACTGTTGAGGGTAGAGCACGTGAATATGGACCTCCTTATAGTACAAGTGACGTTGCGCGAGTTTCAAGACGTTGGGGTTGGCATTAATGTTTTGGTAAGGTTGGTTTGCATTAGATTTAAGAGGGTTAGAGCTATGAGTGTGAGTTTGGACACGGGAGTATTTACCCCCTGGAAGTTAGTGCAAGGCCAGCTGGAGTATAAGACATCCATATTCCCATGTTCAACCTTTTCTAGTGCTGTATCGCCCTATATTTTGAAGATGGGATCCTGTATGCTTTGGAAAGGTTGGGAAGAGACCATTACAACCTCTGTTACCCCTTCTCGGTTGTGTTCTGGGAAGCAATTATTGGATAGCACTAAGAATGTTTAATAATATAGCAAAGTAAACTAATTTTATCCAAGGCGACGTACCTGTTAAATGTGTCTTCCGCGTACTTGTAGGCAAAGCAGCCACAATACGAAACTAGGCATTTAGGGTTTTGTATAATGCTTGAAACAGCATTGAAGTTTTGTAGTAACTAATGAGTACAATGACGTAATGAGTCAGAAGCTGACCGGATTTATCATCAGACACTTCAATAAATTTGGGCAGGTGCCACACCCACTATATAATTCGCCGATCATAAGATACTGCAGCCGAAAACCTGTTACTCAGTTTTTGCTCTGGATTTGAAGTCTAACCGTGACTCTAACAGAGCAGACGCCTTCATAAGTCATAGGCAAGATCTCAAGTTGATTTCCTACTGCCTATTCTCCAATCCCTTCTGTAAAGCATATGTTCTTCCTACTACTCTGGCCTTCCCAAGACTTCCCTCTTCACCTAAGGAACCAGGCCTGGGAGATGGCAGCCGTTATGGTTAAACCTTCTTAGCCTTAACACCCCTTGATAAACCTTATCAATGGAGGCGCAATTCGAAATAACTAGTGTCACCTTAGAAGGGTCCTATGATGTGCGGTGCACACTAGCGCTCCATAAAATAGTGTAAACAAACGAAGAATGGATCCTTGTTTAGACATATTGGCTGTGCACTCTAGCAAACAAAATAATATTTAACTTATAAAAAACTAGCCGCCATGCAGGCTTTACGTTGTGGCTGGGAGTAAAACTAACTTTTTTGCCAAACATACTTCGCTGGAGATTGTAAGAAGGTAACCGTTTTTTTAAATATAGCGCTGGCTGCTTTAGGTTTACCGTATTAAATGATTTTAAAAAATGCGCAAATTTCATATGTTCAGCGAGATATAACGCTCCCGATAGACATTGACTTCAAAGTACAAAAATATCCGGTTCCACCTAACTGTAGAACTTACTGAAGCTTTCAGCTACAAAGTAAAGCCTGAGTAGCGGCTAGTTTTGTATACGTTAAATATTATTTTGTTTGCTCGAGTGCACACCCAATATGTCTAGCCATTTTTCGTTTGTTTACGCTATTTTGTGAAGCGCTAGTGTGTACCGCACATCATAGGACCCTTCTAAGGAGACACGGTTTCAAGATTAGATATTTCGAAGTGCGCCTACATTGAGAAGATTTATTGAGGAGTGTTAAGGCTAATAAAGTGTAACCCTAACGGCTGCGATATTCCAGGTCTGGTTCCTTAGGTGAAAAGAGAAGTCTTGGGAAGGTCAGGGTAGTAGGAAGAATATATTCTTTACAGAATGAATTGGAGAAGAAGCAATAGAAAAATTGACTACTAGACGACCGCACAACCGCAAGCCAGCGGGTGGCGTCTGAAGTGAGGTCTGCTTGGCAGTTTTCATATGAGGGCCTGTGTGAGTCGGTCTGTGATTGGCTGTTTCAGAGACCGGAAACAGCGAGCACTTCCGAAAGTGCACTTCGACTTAAGGTAGTCATGACAGTCGTTCACAAGTGCACTTCGTGTTGAACCATTCAATACAGGTTAACTAAAATCGATTTAGCAATATTTATTTTTACTCACCTACCAACCAAACGGACGACTGAAAGCAAACGTCAAACAATTGCCTCGCCATGTGACACTGTTCGCATTCGCAAACCCAAATACATCGGTACCCGGACAAAAACTCCCAAACAAAAGTGGCATGACGAATAGAAGATAAGTCTATTGGTGAAAAGAAAAACAAACCAAAAATTCCTACAAGGGACCCAATTATCTCATTAGAAACGAAGAGGACAGCGGATGGTGAAGGCGCGAGGATTTGGTGGCGGTTAAATTGTAGGAATATGCATAGTAAATGTTTCAGCTGGGGAATGGGCGGAGGCAGTTGCATAAACACCAATGAGGAGGGTAAAAATGGTTTTTTAAAAATTAATTATGAAGATCTCAAAAAGTGTTATCCGATAGACAAGTTTTCAAAACAGCCAATAGACATTATTTCATGTAGCGATACTGAGGGGTTCATTTCACGGCCACATGCTCGTTGAATTGTTCCTAGGCCGATGCAAACACATTCTCTCTCTAGCGTGTGGTTCGTACAACGACACGCTCAGTGCGCGTCACGCACCTAGAGGTCATGATCGCCAGAATGGCCACAACAACGGCGAAAATGGAGCCGATCACTGCAAGGAAGTAAGACCAAAGACCATTCCTCCTGGCCGTGAACACAATGACGGCTATCAATATGAGTCCTGTGCCCAAATACAGCAGGATGAATCGCGCAGTGATGAGACCGGGCGGCACAGTGCTGGAGCAGATCAAGACAAGGTCGATGATGAAGACGACAATCAGGAAGACCAGACCAATTATGAGAAGGGCAGCGACGGCAATTATGGCCGCACGATCATAGCCTCGGGTACAATCTTCGATGAGATTGCCGCAGCCCCAGTGTGGAATGGCCAAAGCAGAGATAATTGCCGCTATGGCGTTGCCCAAGAGTGTGGCGGTGAGACGACGCATCTCCATCCTTCCGTCAACGAGCAGTGCAGTACACGAATGGAGTGCTCAACGCTTAGGACACAACGCGAATGTCTGGCACTCAACTAATTCGTGTACGATCTCCGGTTGGTGCAGCCGTTGCCACTGGCTGAGCACGACCTTGTGTTTGAGTCGCATTTGACTGGTTAGTCATGCACTGCGTTCGCCGAATGCCGTCTTGTGGTTCGTACATTTCGGCCAGGTGTCCATTTACGACAACTAAGAATGTGTAGGATGACCTGTCCACCCTACTGAGCTTATTCGCTTTCATTGTTGCTCCAACGGGTTAA